TGACTTTGCAGGCAGCGTTTTTGCACGAAGGCACCGCTTCTGAGGCAGTGTAACGGTTTAATGATCTACAACAAAATAGAACGAGTGTTTGCGATAACTAAACGGATATTTAATTACTATAATACTGATTTCTCGCTAGAAATAACATCAAAAGTGCAAAAAGTTCATCAGAAATATACATTTACACACAAACTAACCACCAAACGCAACTTTCAGACGCCATCTTTATTTTTTAGCTCTACCATCACAGAATGGAACGCACAGGATTGTGGGATATCAAAGGCAGCGAAGGATACATCTATGCTGCCTTCAAAAATCAATCAGATGAAGGTATCTCATGAGACAGGAAGTGAAGCTAACTTTGGATTCGGACGTGCCTTGATGCCTTCCTACCTTGGAATGTGTCCGCCGAAGCCAGCATTTTTCACTTTTCGGATGCAGCCATAAAATGCGCAGAGCTGTGGGTCCCCGCAGGACCAGCATTGAAAACCACTGATATAGGCTGTGCAAATGACATTGTGCTATTTATTATAATAGGGTGCCTCGTATCACTTTTTTTTCTTCTTAAGAATCAATCAAATCATTCTGGAACTTATTCCAACAATATGAGGTCACATGTGATTGAGGGTGAAGAACCCTAGTCTAAAGAACCATTTGGCACTACAAAGAACCTTTTGTACAACGGAAACGTTCTAAAGAACCATTTGGCACTATAAAGAACCTTTTGTACAACGGAAAGGTTCTTTGGATCTGAAAGGTTCTTCATGGAACCATACACCCTTCCAAAGAACCATTTAAGAACCTTTTTTTTTAAGAGTGTATTTATAGGGAATTTGGACAGAATCACTGTTTTACGGCTGATCAGTCGGACAGCGATTCATTGATCGAGCCGTATAACATCAATCCACAATATAGTAAAAACACTTTATTAGCATGGTAACAAGATCGGCAGTTTAAGACATTAACTTGTAAGCACAAAACAAAAGATACTTCTCGTTTCAATGTACATAAGACTTTAATGGATAAATCAAAAAGACATGTAAACTAATCTAACACATGCACTCACACAGTAACACAAGTTGCAGAAATAAAATGAGGAAATAATGAGTTTGAGAGAGTGAAAATGTGAAATCCCATGTTTATAGCAATATAGGCAATTGCTTAGACCTGAACAGCCTTTAATCAATAAACCCTTGCATTGAGTTTCTCAGTGAGGCTATCAAACTTTATATTAAATGCACCAGTTCAGCAAGAATCTGGAGGTTGTACTTGCATTGCCTTTGTTTTAAGGGAATTCCTTTTGTATGGCATGGCTGCAGAAAGGGGTTTCCCAAGGTTGTTGATTGGCTGGAAGTTCAGTAGTCATTCGAAGTGAGGTCTTGGGCGTTGGCTGAAGGATGGTGTGGAGTCGTGTACGCTGCCTGAAGTTTTTAAGCTGGTGCAGACAACGTCTGACATGGCT